TGGGCGGCTACAGCCAGACCGCGTCCTGGGGTCTGCCTCCCATGCTGGACATCAGAAATAGCATTGTCTCAGGCAGGAATTGGAATAAGGCTGGGGTTTGCTGTTGAAAAAACAGGGTTATGAAACTGAATAAGTCTGCACATCTGTTCCATTAAACTTAAGTATTTTTAAATGCTTAGATTTTGATTCCAGGCAAAAAACTCCTCTTTGTAAAGGCCAGTTCTGCTGAAGTACTGGTGAAGGCTCTTTTGAAAGCAAGTATAAAAAGGATCTCTTTTCAAAGGGTGACTTTGAACATCAAATTTAAATCATTTGGGGACCTGACTGAGTAACCAAATGGTTATAGCTCTCAGTTGAAAAGGCTGTGTGTTAGATTCAATTCTGATACACACTGGTGTGCCTCAGTTTCCTCTTCTATAAATGGGTTGTAAAAATACCACCATCCTTTTGGGTTTTGTGTGTCAAAAATTCATACATGAAAAGTGCCACAGAGCAGTGTGGCACTGTACTTGGTATCACTCTTACAGCCACTTAGTCACTGTTGCCTCATAACGAAATAAACAGAATTAATTCCTTTGGGTAGTAGTTTTTTTCTTTAAAACTCATTATATGGGTTCATGCACAGCTGTGTGCGCACACATCATTCATGTATGTATCGGTAAGAAGTATATGTCTGAAGGTGAAAAAAGATGAACTTGGAGCTGAGGTGCGGGCTGGGAAAGCCCTGAAGTGCTGCTGAGCAGCGATGCGGTGTGGCAGGGCGCTCTGAAGCCCTTTGCTCTCTCCTCCCACACAAGAGAGTGCTGGGGAAAAAAGGTTGTGCCAAGCAGGCATTCAGCAGCAAAGTCTTGTTTAATTGAAAAACTCCAGGGTGGTTAACAGGCACAAGGAGTGCAACTCTTTTCTGTTACATCTATCTCATGCAGTCTCCTTACAAAATGACCCGCAAGCTGAGAGTAAGGAGTGAGTTTTGGAACCAAACCTGCATGCAAAGATGAACCAGGCAGCAGGCATTATTTGTTTTCTTGTCAGTTCACATTCCCTCCTTTTTACCTGTTTCCTCAAAGGGTGTATAAACCTTTGCTGACCACAACATCGAATGGTTTCCCAATTACTCTTTTGGACCGCTAGCTACTTTTGTACTGGATTAGTCTAAAACGAGGAGGCTGTGACAGGCTGTACAGGGTAAATTGTGCTTTTTTACAATTACTTGCAGGGATTGGAGCCAACCACCTGCTTCAACGCCCGGAGAGGTTAATTGCAGCTCTTTCTCTTGACCTGCATACCAGAGCACATCGCCGGCCGTCCTGCCCTCCTGGTTGCAAAATGTCTCAAATAGCACTTTCTGATTTTGTCAGGCTTTTGCCAGTGGATAGCGACAGACTTTTAAACAGGCTTGCTGAGTGCATTTTAGATGAGAGGGTGACAGTTCTGAGTTTTTGCTGCATCTTCCCACTGTATAGTGTTTGTAGGAGAGACTTAACAGCCTTTTCCCTCTTTGTTCCCTCAGGTTCAGCAGCTCAAAAGAAATCTGTGCATAAGTCACGTGCTGATGTAACTGCCTGTGTTGCCCTGCTGCATCAGAGCTTGCCCCATGGCAAACCTGAGCACCTTCTGACGTAAACAGACATGCACTCCCCAAATTCCAGCAACAGGTTGTAGGAGTTCCCCTTCCAGCAGCATCACAAAACACTTCTGGCAGTCGGAGTGTGACTACAAAAGTATGGAGCAGATTTAAAAAAGGAGAAAGTGAAGGAGAACATTTGCTGTAGGCCATCGGCCAGAGAATACAGCTGGCACCGAGTCCGCAAAGCTCAATGTGTCTCATTCCCTCTTCACTTTGGAGGAGTGTCAGAGTGCTGCTAGCATGAAATCACAGCTCTCATCTAAGGCCTGGATGAAATTAATTCTTTGTCCTGGGTCTGTAGTAGATACCAAGTGAAATAGGAGTGCTGGGCATTTTCTGTACGTGCTCAAGTTTCTCATTTCCTTCAGATGAACCAAATCTTTCGAGTGACAACTGCTCTAAGATGTAGTGAATGAAACATGGCAGTAATTAAATACATGTGAATGTTACAGAGGCTTCCTCAGGTGACCTTTAGTCTAGCCGGAATAGTTAAACAGTGGTCATGGTTTCTCATACTTCATCACGGGATTCATCTGACTGCTGTGGTTTTCACCCTTATTTGCAATAAGTTAATTTTCCTTTAAATTCTTTGGTTTGCTTGTACCTAACAGAGGTACCTAACTCAAATTCCAGATAGAGAACTGAAATAGCAATAATGTCTCTCTACAAGTTTTCTTATCGAGGCTCGATTATTTTCTAGAAGATACACTTAAATGAAACATGAGCTCTGAACTCTACACAAGGGCACTGGGTGAACTTCTATAGCATAGTTATATATACTGATTTATACTTAACTCTTGGTCAGTATATAAATGACTGAATGGCTCTGTCTAGACATATAATCTATGAAATTTGTAAGCCTAGCCTGATATTTTTACAGCTATAATCAAAGTCCATCTTTCAGTTCCCTAATTTAGCACCTTTCTTGCCTGCTGACAAGAAGACAAGAACAGTTTAAGCAGCAAGAAGAGAATCTAAAATATTAGTGCTGCCATGTCAGATATTAGTTATTCCCCTGATCCAGTCTTGATGTTTATCCCTCCCTCTTTGAGTTTTCTTAATTATTTCTGTCTTGTATTAATTCTCACAAAACTCCCTAGATGTAGGCTTTATGATTTAGAATCTCAGCTGTTCATTCAATTAATGGGCTTGATTAATGTGCTTAAACTTTCCAGAGACACTTGTGACACATTATGAGGGGGAAACAAAGATTCTGCGTATGCTCCATCTCATTTGTGGTACTCCTGAGCCTGGAGTCCATTTTAAGCTCTTTATCAGATAGCTAATTATTTTTTTTTTTTTTTTAATTCTTGTATTCATTAAGCATTTATGTGGAAGGAGTATTTTCTCCAGAAGAGTGACTTAGTTTCCTTTGCCCAATGCCTCACAACCTGGCTTAGTTCCTTTGTAAAAAAGCAACTGATTGTAGTTCAGTACATTGATTAGGATCTGAGAAGCTGACTTGAAAATGGTAAATGTGGAGGTGCACCTCTTTTACTTTCTATATGGGTATTGCATATGGAGAGAAAAACATCAGTGAGCTTTTCTAACAAGAATCTCAAAGCACTTGACAATATTTTTAGCAAAGGTATTACCTAATAATAAGCAGTACAGAAGAATGCCGTTAGTTGTACAGTGATGTTATCAAAGGGACAATCTGAAAAGTTTGGCTGTGTGGTCTCTCTAAGTGTGAAACACATTTCACATAGTTGATGTTTGGTGAGTAAATACCAACAGATCAACTAGCACAACGTTTCCCAAATGTGTCTACTTTCATGCTTAGCTTGAGAGTTGCCATAATTTTCAATGTCATCAGAATAACTCTGGAAATAAAACTTGTCACTGGCTGACCTGCATAAAGGTTGCTTGTATTCTTTTGCTTCTGAAGTAGCCGATTCTTAGGCAAGTTGCCTATAAATCTTAAAAGCATTGTAAGACCCATTTAGGCAAAACTTTGTTATTTAAATGTGCTCCACATGACAGTAGAACTCAGGCACTGTCCATCTAACAGCAATATACCACGTCAGAGCTCAAGAGAAAAAAAAAAAAGTTAATCTGAGAATTAAAGCAGGACAAACTTAATTTCAAAGTCATATGTGAGGACTGCCTTTGAGGAAAAAAAAAGACTGCTACTCATTTTCTATAATTTTTCTTGGCTCAGTAACCCCTAATTCCTGTTAATATCAGAAAAGATTTGAGGTGCGTTTGCAGAGCAAAACCAACCTGTGTTTCGGCATATTCCCCACTGAAGTCTACATGAGTTATCCCAGTAACTCCAGTAAACCAGAGTTTAATCACTGGCTTAGCCAGAATCCCTTCAGATCTGTGTCCCAATGCATTATACAACATGACACAGAATGGTCCTGAAAAGAGAACAAAGTCCATTTCAGTAACACAGCTATATCTCATAAGCCATGGTTTTAATAGATTGAAACCACAGTACATGGACTCTGTTGGAGACTATCACCTCGCTCTTGCTTAAAAGCAGAATGCAAACCTGTATATAGATACATGTTATACACTAATCTAAATGTGTGTAATTTAATTTAATTTAATTGTTGTACAATTAAAAATTTAATTAGTACACACTAATTTAAAAGTACACACACACACATGTGTAAATATCTTAAAAAACCATACCTCATGAAGAAGGAGCTCTGTCTTTCCAGGACACTGGTCAAACACGTGGCTACATCATGTTCTTTGTATCAATAGGATCTGTGCTCAGGACCTTGATTTTGTGCCAAAGGATCCCTCAGACCAAGAGGGTGGAAGAGTTGCAGTATAGAGCCCGTGTGCTAGTTTTGGCAGTAATTTCCTATGATGACACAAAGCAACTATGAATACATTTTGCTGAAACAATTACTGAGAAGTTCTAAAAATTAATGCTTCTGCTGCAGTTCTGCTCATGAGCCATAAGGGGATCTTGTCTTTCAGCATTACAGTGCTCAAGGAAAAAGGAAAGGATTCTGCTTTATGGTTCTGAGTCAGTCTTTTTCTTACTAACATATGGCCCCATTTTTTCCAGGTTCTTTAAGCAAGTTGTAAACATAAACTTTGATGCACATGAAGTTTGATTCATGAAGAGTTTAATTTGCCTAGTATAAAAGATTCACATAGGTTATATAACATCATTAAATTATTTTTGTAGTTTGAGTAGTATCCATTGAGGAAAGCAGAACTGTTTCCCTGGGGTCCATTTATCACTGTTTGCTACTAATTAGAAAACTGAAAATACAATATGCATGACTCGCATTATCAGTGTTGTCTTTGGACTGATGTATCATTCCTCATGCTTCCTCAGGAACTTTTATTCATTTCCTAATTAATCTTTTTTCTTTTTCTTTTCTTTCTTTTTTTTTTTTTTTTTAAGGTTTCTGACAGATGTGACTCCATCTTCGTTAATGGCAAGGAAATGAAAAGCAAAGTGGATACTATTGTTAACTTCACTTACCAGCATTTTACCACCCAATTAGAAGTGACGGTCTGGGTTCCAAGGCTCCCGCTGCAGATAGAGATCTCTGATACAGAGCTTAGCCAGATCAAAGGCTGGAGGATACCCGTCACCTCCAATAAAAGGTACACTTACAGCATTGGTACAGTCCACATACATGCCCAGGGCCTCTGATTTTAGAACACAACAATTTTTTAGAGTATGTCACAGAATCTAACCTCATCTGTTTAAAATTAGCTTTACAGTCTGTCTTAGCCTTCATTAAAACATCCAACAATGATATCAGTAGGCTACATTTTATCCTGATCTATATAGTTTAAAAGTCAGTGGCTTTGCCTGGAGCATTAATCAATTCCACACAATCTCAGGAAATCGTATCATACACTCTGATGTGCAAATCTGAGGAAAAGGACCTGGACCTCTCCCATCCTGGATGTAATATCGTGTCTGCGTCTGATATTCAGCACTGCCAGTGCTTAAGTTTCTGTCTACAGTGCTAAATAAAGTAGGGCCAAGGAGGGAGTCAGGTCACCGGGCACTGGCGTGACTGTTGCACTAGATGATCTTTAATGGTCCCTTCCAACCCAAACCCTTCCAACAGAATTGTTTGGGTTGGAAGGGACCATTGACTTTGGGTGATTTTTTTCAGTCTCTGTACATATGCACTGTACAGCAGACCTGGCTGTGGCATTACTTAGCAGATCTGAATTAGGCAAAAAACCCACTTACGCTCCTATTGAAGACTATATTCTGATGTACAGATTCTACCAGGACAAACGTGGATGGGAAACAAGGAGGGGGAGGAGGGTGCGGATTTTGAGCTCTGTTCCCATCATTCCGTACTGAAAATACCCATTCTAGAATAACCATCATTTGAACAATTTGCAAGATTAAGAACTTCCAGGAACACTGCTATATTGGTGGATTTCAGGCTAAGTTGAAAAACACCACTGGAGAACAAGGCATGACACCAGCACAAATTTATAATACAGTGAAAAAGCATTTCTGGCAGCAGGAACTGTAGTGCTAAACACTGTGGCAGTTCTAGCTAAAGCACTCGATTTGCCCAGGAGAACATCATGGCTGTTGAGAGCCCAGACAGACAGCAGTGCAGTAGAATTATCTAACACTTTATGAGGGCATAAAACTAAGGGCAACAGGACACAGTTTCCAGGATACTCAGTTAATGAGCTCCAAAGAAGGGGACTGACTTACCTCTTGGCTATGTGGACATTTTTTCTGGCTATGACAGAAGAGGTGATGAGGATCTGGCACAAGAGAAATTTTTGTGTTTGCTTCAGTGATAAAGGCAAAGTTGCCATTTGTGGCAGGAAGAGATGTGCTAGGTGAGGAATGAACATACGCCAGCTGCTTAAAGTTTCACTTACCTTCTTCTGCCTGTAATGTGCCTAGTGCTGTAACAGTCCCTTAGATGCAGCTCCTGCTAAAACCAGTGGGATTTTGCTGAGTAAAAGGCTGCAGGATTAGGCTGTTGATGTTTATTATAGGAGTAAACTTTCAGCAGTGAGCTCAGTGAGTTAGACATTCAACTGTGGTTAACGGTCGTGGACATTCTGACTTTAAACCCATTATACACAGTGCTGGAAATTTACCCCCTGGTGTCTAGTTCTGATTTATTTGGCCAGCTGAAATAAAGATAATGGTCTGAGAGTCTGCTCTGTTTGCAAGCTGGCAAGCAGTGTGAGTTTGCTGCTGCTCAGATTGCATCTGAACTGCTGGCACATCTTCAGCAAGCATTTTCCATGAAAGGGCGAAGAGAAAGTATGGACACTGATTCCCCAGAATTGCAGCTGGTAGTTTATGACGTTGTGTGTCAGCAGTCCATGCCTGTGTGAACAGGAAAGGTTCAACTAGAAATAAATCATCTCTTGTTTTATGGAACATTCATGTGGATTTTTTTTTTTAACTTTGGGGGGTGTTCTAAATCAATAGGCAGTCTAGGACTGGCATTAGTTGTGCTCACTCTGACATTTATTTTGTACATAAGGTTTTTACATTTCCTTTATAGTTAGATTTGGGTGATTTTACCTGAGATTAGTGGCTTTTCCTTTTTTTTTCGTTTCTTTTTTTTCTTCTCTTTATTTTTTAATCTGCTTATACCTCCACATCCTTCATAGCTACATGTTTCCCAATATTCTAAACACGGGGGAGCTTTTATGATGAGTTCTTAAATGGTCACCCGAAGCGCGCAAGACTTTTGGACTAGAGTCAGGAGCTGCAGGTTGGTTTCCTGAATCCTCATTCAGTGATACAGCCCGAAGGCCATGTTCACTTATTCTGAACAATGATTCAGCATGTAATTCTTCACAGTGCCCCCGCTATATATAATACAGTGTTTAGTGCTGTATGGTGAGAGGGTTGTCTTGTGCGATGCCTGAGAATAGGTTTGAAAGACAGAGTGCTTTAATCTTTTTAAAAAAACAAAATCCAAGCATTTCCCAGCAGGTGTGGTAGCCGTAGCTTTGCATTGCTTCAACTTTATTTTCATGTAAGAGCCAATATTTGCAGTTTCCATGAGGTTTTTTGATATGTATCCTTAAAGGAAACTGATTTGAAAAGAAGACGGCATCTAACCCTTGGATTCTTTTGAAAGTCCCTGCCAACAGGCTTAGGTAGTCTTAAATTTAGGTTCAGTCACACATGGCCCACAGGTCAAATGAAACTATGTCACTGTCCTCAGGTTTAGTCATGGAAGGATTGTAACATGTCTTCTTCATTCTTCTTCACTCATTCTTCGTTCTTCTGCATCCACCTTCATTCTTCTTCACCTCACCACAGACAAAACAATTTTCTACTCTCCTCCTGTGCACTAGCGTTGATGTCTTCACACCACTCCCTTGTCTTCTTAGCAAGAACTAAACATTGCTATAAAGTAATGCTTCAATACACAGAAGGTAAAATTGTTGAGCATTTCTTATAGGGATTATGCAGAGACACTTCAGCAACCTCCAAACATTCCTTCACCTCTCTGGCTCCCCCACTGTCTCATTCCCACATGCTCAGCGTGGCTGTGCTGGTTCAGTTGTTGGAGGGGCTGAGCCAGATGGCAAAATATAACTAGGTTTACAATAATCTTTTAAATGTTTTTATTGGTGCTGTTGACAAAAGAAACGCTTGTGAAACTACTGCCTCAGCATGGCTGTTCTTCATCTGAATATAGCTGCTTCTATTTCAGACCTGAAAAAGTGTTTATATGCCCCAAATCACATCTGTTCATTCCAACGATGTTTGTTGATCTAATAAAAAGTATTGCTTCTCCCTATAAACCCTGTCATGTTTGTAATTGTAAAATACATGTGGTTACAGACATGTTTGCTTACCTAACTTCTTGAATAATTTCCACAAAGCAATGAAAAAGACAGGGTCTTTAAAAAATTTTTACAAATACCACATGCCTAGCTCAGTTGGAACTGTGTCGGTTTTCACCTGGTCTGAACTGCTGTAAGAGCAGGAAATTGCTAGAGGAGCAGAAAGAAAAACCAGGCTGCCAGAAACTGGGAAAAAACCCCCAAAGTCTTCCCTATGTAAGAGCAGTAATACAATTTACCAGATCAGTCTGTAAATGTATGGCAAACCTTTATTATTATCCAGAGGATAATTTGATCTATGGTGTGTGCTACTGCAGATATGAAGAGCCTCCCTTTCCAGACAAAAGTCAGCTCCATGGATCAACTCATGACTAATGCATGGTACACGGTCCTCGAACTAGCATGGGCTAACAGAAACTCTGCTTCTGCAACAGGCTGCAGAAAAGCCCACAATCTCAGCAAACGAAAGGTGTATATTTAAATTAAAGTCAAATATTAGAGCATAGAAGAGGTCCAGGCAGACTCTGCTAGTCTAACAAAAACATTTATTTTGATTCCTCATGCATCTGTAAAATAATTACCTTCTTGAAGTTCCTGCAGTAGCTCTGTGGACATACATTTACATGGGAGGAGTGGCTTCAACTTGCATTAACAAGAATTGCATGGCGAAAGTCTCACAGAACAAGCTGGAAATTTAATTTAAGTAAATATTTGCATCTTAGATAAGCACATTGTTTTCATGAGTCTCCCAGGGAGGCAGACATCACACAGTATGACTCCAGCACGTGCTTCATAGTTTACTGGTCTTTTACCAGCGTCTGGCCTTACTGAACAGTACCTGATAAAGCCATTACTAAGCTGTGGTCACTGCAAATCTCTGAGCAGCATAAACCTTCAAAACGTATGAAACACAGTTAAGCCAGACATGGCTTATGAATGGCAGACTCTTAAACTAATGGTTAATTAGGTGGTAGCTCTACGTTGGTCCTGTCTACTAATACAAAAAAAAAGCAGGAAACTTTGCCTAAGTTAAATGAAGGAAAAAATAAACTGCTTTAGATAAACCTCTCTGTGAGTGCTGCCACTCAGAAATAAAGCCATCCTTTAAGGCAAATTAAGTGAAACTGGATTCAAACCATTCCATTTGTGAATAACAACATCCACACAAAGCTTGAACTTTACTCCTTTAGTTAATTGACTTCAAAGTCCTATGGAGATAAGGCCATAGAGATTTTTGTCAACAGGTAGACTGAATGTTCGAGATCTGTAAAGGTACCAAATTGCATTTCTTCTTGAACCGTGAGCGGAGCTATGTGCAACTTATTTCTGTAGTTTCCACTAAATCAGCATCTAATGGCTTGTATTTTGTATCTGACATAGATTTTTTTTTTTTAATTAGAGGTCTTGCAAATGTATTTTAAGTACATGACTCTTTTTAATGAGTATTTCAAATTCAAAACCAGCAAAACTGATTTCTTTAGGGTTTGGGTTTTTTTAAACAGAAAATTAGCATGTGGCCCAAGAACTTGACGCTTGGTTTGAGAGTGGTGCAAATTAAGAGAGACATACTTAAACAGCTCACAGACAGTGTCTATAATATAAAGTTGACAGATCACTGATTAGATCAGTGCTAGCAGGCACCGTTGTAACAAGGCTGCTGTTTTAACTCTCTGGCAAAGGCTTTCTCTGTGTGAAATGTAAATTAAATGTAATTCTGGCAACCTTGGCTCACTCCAGAAAAGCAAAAAATCTCCCAAGCAAGTTTGCCAAACAGCAAGAAATAGGGCAAGTTATTCTGAGAGATATCCAGAGCTAACCTTGGGGATGACCAAGGGGAAAAAAAGCACAATATGCAGCAATAGCTTATATTCATGAAGACATGTCTTAAAAAGAAAATGAGCTCACTGCTTAACGAAGGATTTTAAGCCTACTGAAAACACTGTAACAAGATGTTTAAGACTCTAAAGGGAACTATGCTGTTCAAGGGATCTGGAATATTTTGTTGGGCCTATGGAGACAAAACACTGAAATGCTCTGACTTACTACCTGAATCATGGCTTTGTGGCTTTGAAGTGGAAATGGATGTAATTTGTTTAAAAAGAGAAAGAACTTGAGATGGTATGTGATAAAGCAGATTTACAAAGCTTGTACTGAAAATTCAAACAGCTCTCTTTTTACTTTGCGCTGACATAAGAAAGTGCCTTGCCCATTCCATGGTTTAGAGATGCTTTTCTGTTGTTCCACATCTGCATGCAACAGAAACCATGTATTTCTACGGAGAAGTATACCAACACCTATAAATGTTTTTGTAAGGAAATGGATCCCTTAGCTTTGTTTGTTAGAGAGGCCACAAGGAAAGAATTGGACTTGAATCATCTTTTTGTGATTGGTAGTACTGGCTGCCCATAAAGTCTTCTGCCTGGCAATAAGGGCAGGAGTGCTCCCTCTGTGCAACACTCCTCATCTCTGGTCATTCTTCCCACAACTCACATTTCGGAGCTGTATGGGACTAGGGTTGAAAAAATTCTTTCTCTCAAAGTTGTTTTGAATATATTTCCTCTTGAACAGGCCAGTAGTCTAAAGTTTTAAACAGTGAAAGTTGAAATAAGTAAGTGCAGAAATAAATATGAGTAACAGTAACACATTGAATCTGAGTAAAACATCTGGTTATGTAACAGAAACAGAAATAAGAGTTCTGTAAAAAAAAATTAAGTCAGCGTGAATGTTGAACATGTGAACATTTTTCTTCAAGCCACAGAACACTGCTTCTGTGTCTGTTTTCCCATAAGAAAACTGGTTCCTACTGGTTCTGTGACTCTTTTCCCCAAAATCCTGTAAGCACTTCTCACCTGAATAGATCCTGCCCATTCTTCTCCAATTCTGCACAGGTACTAATGTTACTGTCTGTATTACTAAAAGAGAGTCAAATCCTGGAATCTCAGAGCTGAAACTGGTTTTTCCAAAGTCTGAGATTATTCAGAGGTGGGTTATGGTTTAGATGAGCTGAAGAGGGTCAGAATACAGGAATAAATTGGAAGTGGGAACGTTAAGGAGTTCATAAACTCTTTTATAGCTTTGTAAAGCCAAAAGCAATCTGAATAGGTGTGGGCCACATAAGTTCTATGAATATCCCCCTTCTAGTACTTTCCTTGTGGCTGTTCTGCTGACTGGCTGGCTTCAGCTCATTTCAGACTGACACTTGTTTTGAGAGGGAGAGAATAAATGAAGATTTTGAAATACCCAGCTAGTCTAATTTTGTAAGACTAATTTCTTTGTGTAGTGTAAATCCTATTTTAGGATCCTGGGTTTTTTCTTAACAATTCAGTGGTTATTCAATGATGTTTTATTCAGCAACTAATAATGGACACTGTTGTTTTACACACACAAAACCAAAAAGGCTGTACCAAATAGCATTTACTTGAGGCCACATATATATATATATTCAGGTAACAACTGATGCATTGAAAATGTATTTCCAGTGCATTAGATTCTGTAACACCAGGACTTTGTATCATTTTGACGAGCATGAGGGCTTTTCTTAGATATGTTTTCAGCTTACTATTTGCCAACTTTGTCATAAAACAATTTATAACAAAAGCAATTCTGTTTTATAATAGTTTTTCATAGCTGGTATTTCAAAGGAGAAGATAAAGGAACACAGTAAACACAAAACTACTTCCCAAAAATACTGTGAAAAATAAGAGGCTTACCCCATATTTCCCACCCTTGCTATAGAGGTGGCTTCAGGCTCAATAAATAACTAAAGGAGCAAGGTAAATTATTTCTGAGCAATGAATTCCACAGCATGGGGGCATAATGAGTAAAAGTGTGACCACCTAGTGCTTAATACTTGGCAAAAAAAAAAAAAAAGGAATTGATGGGAAACTGGGTTTTAAAACAGACAAAATTCTGTAAATTCTGTGAGGTGCAACAGCACTGCTATCATCTACAAATCACTGAGATGCCTCATATAAGGTTTATGGAAAGCTGTTATATTGTCACGGGTTCTATTTTGCAAGGGGGACAGATAGTTAGAAAATGTTAAATAAAGTGTGTCTAATGCTGCGATTGTTTCTGTGGGGTGAGTGATAGACTCAACAGCCTGGCATGGTGTTTGTACATCTGAGTAACTGATGGCCTGAGTGGTAACTGAAGCGCCTAATTTTTTTGGAAGCCCCATGTGGTCATTACATGACTAAATATACCAGACACTTGCATGAACTGTATGAGATTTAAGGTGAAATCATGGTAATGCCGAGGGCTTAATGAACCTATGAGACAGAGATGTGGGGTAAGGTGTGATAGCATTACCTAAGCAGGGAGTCCTGAATGTGTTACAATAGTTCTGAAGAGATGAGCAAAGGGATACAAATGCTATGGGCGAAGGTGGAGGAAAGGATGTTAAAACATCTTCTCCCATCCCTGCTGAGCTGCTACAGGGGTTTGTCCCAGAACTGCCCTCTCACAAACATTTCACGCTGCTTTCCTTAGCCCTCTGCAAGATTTGACTGCCACTTGCAGACAGAGTGAACAAGCAGTGGTTCCACTGAAATCTCAGCACTGGCAGACATGTTTTCAAGTTGCTGGGTGATGCCACTCAAACAAAGAATTCACTAACAGAAGTGACAGTAGCTTTTAAATTGTACAGCACAAAAAAGCTGTGCAAGCGTCTCACCCAGATTTAGTAACCTACACATCCAAAATCTGGTTTTCTATGTCTCACACAGTAGCAGATGATGATTATATTAATCTGATTAAAAATACCATACAACTGAACCACTGCACTGTTGTAGGGAGATCATGGCAATGCAGATAACAAACCTGGATCTATTTACAGGCCTACCCGTGACAGTGAGGATGAAGAGGATGATGAGAAAAAAGGAAGAGGTTGTACCCTCCAGTATCAGCATGCCATGGTGCGAGTCCTCACACAGTTTGTAGCTGAATCCTCTGAGTTTGGAGGCCACTTGACCTATATGCTAGGCTCTGAGTGGCAGTTTGACATCACTGACCTTGTGACTGATTTCATGAAGGTGGAAGAACCCAAGATTGCTAAGCTTCAAGATGGCCGAGTTCTCGTTGGTCGTGAGCATGGCATCACCACAGTCCAGGTACAGCCTAAGATGTATCTGCAGCTTCTGTAGAGAGAGTTGTGGATGCACACACACAATAGCTAGTTAGCTTATAAAATTAATTGCTCTCAGAAAAAAACAAGGTGAAGAAAAATTACATGCTAAACATAAAAGGAAGTTTGAATGGGTTTTCATTTTTGCTATTTGTCACTTCCATAAAATACCTTTAGGAGAAACTTCTGCAGGGATTTATCCATGTCACTGTGACCAGCAACAAGTGAGATTTTCTGAAGAGTGAAACAGGTTACATGATGCACACAACTAGCTTATTTTAATTTAAGTGGGAGCTTATGGACCTCACTGTTAGGAAATTTTCCCAAAGATCTACATGCATCTTTATATGCTTAAACGACTTTGAAAAATTAGTCCCTTTACGTTGACCAAATGAAACACAAGAAATGGACACAAAAATAATCTTCAGAAATCTTTCAGAGCGTTCGTGTTCACCACCTGTCTATCTAACTCGATGCATATTTCTGAATCAAAATAAAGGAATACAAGCACTGGGGCTCTTCTTAAGAGGTGCAAACATCTGTAATGTTCCAGTCACGCTGTTTTCTTTGTAGTCGACACAAAGAAACAGGTATGTTTAGGACTCGGCACCTTTCAGCTTAAACCAAACATCACACAGAGGTCAAAGGATTTCTGCCCTTAAAAGATCTCTCTCACTCCAGTGACTATAAGACAGCAGAAGGCAGCTAGCTCTGATACAGGTACCTACACTGTAGGTTTCTCATTAGTTTAGATAAATCCCAGCTCAAATATTTTGGGTTTGAACCAGTTGTTTCTGGCATTGGTAGAAAGATGACTGTCTCCTTCTAAGCATGTTAGAAACAAGGTCTTAAAGCAAACTGACAGGACTACTTTGGCATTGAAAAATGCAGACAGGCACCCAGTGGGATTTTCAAAGTCCTTTTGTAAATCTCACTTTCATTTCATTCAGGTCCTCTGTCCCTGTAAAGGCATCAGGCCAAGTTCCTATCAGCCAGGCTTTGTACACTTACTTATTCTCTTACAGAGTTTCAGCGTTAATTAGTGTCTTACACTATGTCTTGTGCTATACTGCATTCATAGGAGGTTTTATAGACCACACAAAAAAGACTTTTATAAAAACAAAATCCATTTAATTTAATCTATACTCCATTGTTGAGATGAAGCTGCAATTTCAACGTGATTGGTTGTTTTATTAAATTATTTTTGTAAATAAAGTAATTTAGCAGCAAATGAGTGTAATGTCTTGGGGGAAACATCAATTATAGCTTATACATGGATGTGACAAACCTGAGGTTAATCCAGAGTGTTATGCTGATTAGAGTCTAATCTTGCTTTACAACACAGTTAGTTGCTGTTTCATGCAAGGTGTTTGCTTTCTCTTTCAAGGTTCTGTCACCTCTTTCCGATTCCATCTTGGCAGAGAAGACAGTGATAGTTCTAGATGACCGTGTAACCATTACAGATCTAGGAGTACAACTAGTTTCAGGCTTGTCCCTCTCCTTACAAATCAGCAAAGGAAATAAGAGAGCTATTGTTTCTACCACCTCTGCATATGATATCCTTCATACTCCGAAACAGGTATGATCCAAGATAGTATATAGAATTGTTTGCTGTGCTTTCTCAGAAGCTAGGGAAAAGCTACTTGCTGTAAATTTTAGACAGCACATATAATGTATGACTTTGTGAAAAGCAGTAACTTCACATGGTAAAGGTTGTTCATCTTACTGACCAACTGCTGCAGATGAAAACACCTTTCCAGAATGACCATTAAATGCTTCAGAACTAGTTTGGAGACCTGTGCAGCACAGGGAAAATGACTGACATGTTTGTGCATGCATAATGCTGTAGAAAGCATGTACATGCCACTCAAGATGCTTTTTCTCTGGGAAAATATGGCTTAGCTGTGTAAGCAGAGGGAGAAACCCCATGCCTTAATAGTCTTACAAAGTCAGTTCAGCCAAAAGGACCTTTTGGCTGCATCTGCAGAAGTTTTCATGATCTGCATTGCTGAAAGCTGATAAGTTTGTGCTTACTTTGAACTGTGTAACCTGAGGAATCAAATAGCTTTTGATGAGACCACAGAATAAAGTGCATATATCTTTTTTATTGTATTATTATAGAATAGAGACTCTGTATCACTAGAAAAAGTGTTACTATCTTTTTAGCACTAGCAATTTGCAGTAAGAAGACAAATTGTTTTGGTCAAAACATCCTTAAAAAGGCAGGTTTGTGAGTGTTTCTGTAGTTCCCAGAAAGGACTATAATCACTTTTATATATTTCACATAATCTTGTATATTTGAAAACATGACAAAATTTAAAATACTGCATTGAGATGTGTTCTTAACCTAGTTTGTTTCAATGGGCTGAATGGGATCACCATTCCAACACATAACAGCTCTGCGGGTTGTATTAGATATGGCATTAGAACTGCAGTGTTACAGAAATGCCCCATTATAGGGCCTTTATGAAATTAATTAACCAGGACTTTGCCATGGAGCCCTGGCATTCAAAAGAGGCTTCTCACTTCAGACTGAAAAAAGAATTGTCTTGGTTTGTTTTTTTTGTCAGCACCTTTTATTATATTTAGTTGACCGTGTCTTTGATAGTTCCTGAAGATGACATAAATGCCTAAGTGGTCTAGAGAACACAAAGTTGCAAGAAGAAAATGAGAAGCAGAGTAGACATTTTGATTTTCTTTTTTTTTTTTTTTAAACAAAATAAACCAGAGTTAAACTGTGTATTTATTTTGCCAATGTCAAACAGACTTAAACAACTGAGTGTCTGGTATGGGCACTCTTACCTTTCACACTTTTTTTTTCTCATCCTCTCTCTCCCCAGGAAGCCATAGTCAGTGCTTGGATTTTGTTCAGTGATGGGTCAGTGACACCGTTAGATATCTATGACACCAAGGACTTCTCAATCACCATCACTTCACTGGATGAGATGGTAGTGTCTGCACACCAAAACCTTCAGTCCAAATGGCCTGGGGTAGTGGCGGAAGGGGACGGGCAAGGACCTTTGATCAAAATCGAAATGGTCATCAGTGAGCCATGTCAGAAAACTAAGCGGAAGAGTATTCTGGCTGTTGGGAAAGGAAGTGTCAAAGTGAAGTTTGGTCAAAAAGATTCTGACCAAAAAGGAAGCACTAATGACATTGATGATGTGGATAGAGATTTTAAAAGCCACGCAAGCAATTCTATAGAGAAACCTGCAGAACAAGAGAGGACAGCACAAGAATGGTCCAAAAACCATGAGGACATCTCCAGTAATGAGGACAATGCAAACAAAAGCACAACTTTCATATCTCCCATTGATCCGGAGTCCCTGGAGGATGGCCAGCTCCAAAATAACCCAACTGCCTTCACAGGTTTCCCCACGCAAGTAGAAATACCAGGAGAAAACAGTCCCAGTGATCTCACATTGACTTCAAGAGGATTAACAGATTTGGAGATTGGCATGTATGCCCTGCTGTGTGTTTTCTGCTTAGCAATCTTGGTCTTTTTGATTAACTGTGTGGCATTTGCTTGGAAGTACAGGCATAAAAGGTTTGCTGTGAGTGAGCAAGGCAACATCCCCCATTCCCATGATTGGGTCTGGCTTGGAAATGAGGTTGAACTGCTGGAAAACCCAGTTGACATTTCGCTCCCGTCAGAGGAGTGCACTACCATGATTGACAGAGGAATGCAGTTTGAAGAAAGCAACTTTCTCCTTAATGGGAGTTCTCAGAAGACTCTTCATAATCATATCCTCAGATCTTCTGAGTACCTTTGTGAAAAAGAAGTTAAAAGTGAACCTATAAATCCTTCTGGGCCAAAGCAGAAGCGAGTAAAGTTCACTTCATATACAACAATACTGCCGGAGGATGGAGGCCCCTACACCAATTCAATTCTATTTGACAGTGATGATAATATTAAATGGGTATGCCAAGATATGAATCTTGGTGATTCCAAGGAACTTAGGGACTATATGGAAAGACTGCAAGACAATATGTAAAACTACTTTCTTATGTTTGTAATCACCTTTATGCCTTCTGTTTATGGATGGTGGAGCAGTCAGTCCAGTCAGCAATAGGAACAAGACAGTCCAACCTTGGAGTTACTGAGATGATAACCTGATATCACTGAGCAGGTACAAGAGGCTGGCTGAGTTAAACCTGTTTCACCACAAACCAGGATGTGCCCCTAAAACAGCTACCTGTAGGTGTTGGAGGTGTCACACAGGATGGCTGTTTTTGTATACTGCCTGGTACTAGCAAAATGCTAATACAACTACGCTCAGACTCAGAGGAGACTTCATTTGTTTGTCATCTCTCATGATAAATGATAAATCAGAAAAGAGAGGGATATTTGTTTGCATTGATTTTTCTAGTCGTCGTCCTTTGTAAAGCACAGTGGACATTTCTTGCTTACAGCCTGAAACGAGGCTTACACTAAAAGGGATCTGAATTAATCTAATTTTATTGCCTATGTGCAATGCAGCCAAGTAGTCTTATTATTTTTTACAGATATACCCCCCCATGTGGTTAATTTCTTTTCCTATTGTTTATGAATTTTATTTGACTGAGGGAACATTAAATATTTTCTTTGAAAGGTTTTTTTTCCCAGTTGTACCAAAGTGTAGTACAGTAATATTTATAATGATTTCAGTTTTCTATTCATCTGCATCAGCCCCTAGAGATACCTCCTTCATTGCTGATTATCCTTCCCCTTTCCATATGGGTATATGGGTCGTTAGTATTTGAAACATAGAAAGGTATTAGAACTCTTACTGGGAAAGGGTTGTATCTTCTTACAGGGAACTGTAAATACAATAATAAACCCTGGAAAAATAAAAAAACAAGGAGTAGCCCTGGGTTTACTTTTGTCATTGCTAACATGAAAAAGTAACCTGCAACAAAACCGCACATACTTCAAAGGAAAATGTTTTGCTGAAACAGCAGCTTGGCTCGCAATACACATTACTATCAGAATGAGAAAGTCAAATGTGGTATTGAAATGCATAGAATAGGAAGGAAATTTCCTAGCTAATAAGCAAAGGCTTGGAGTCACTGTTACTCTGTACTAATTAATACATCGGTGGTAGAGTTTAGCAGGACAAAGAAGTCCATACTCAATGGCTAATGCTCCAGACCTTGTCTAAAACATCTCTGACCATAAGGCTGTTAAAGAGAAAAACTTTACACCATGTTTCATTAAAAAAGGAGAAAGGAAAGAAAAGACACACTGGGTACATTATGAAACGACTATTCCCAATTTTAAGAAGGAAAACATGCTGGAGATTCAAAGTTGCCATTTCATATGCATTACATGTCTTTTTTTACTGAAGGATTACTGAAATAAGTTGAAAATTACAGTTAGAAAAAAACTGAATCTACATAATACTTAACAAAAACAATAAAGCACATGTTTTATGATGGATCCTGTGCAATAAACACAAGATCCAAATTACAACTGCCTTACATACCATAGTTCCCATCTTTTAGGTAGATCAAGATAGGATTTGAATTTTATAATTCAGTTCTGATATTAGAACAGACCAGACAACCTTAACTATGGGAAAGTCTGCTTTTGGATCCTAATCCACAGCTGGGAATATGTTTAATATAACTGCTGCAAAATACAAGAATTTCGATGGTGAGACTAGAAAGTGAGGAGACCAGGCTTGTATAAGTGATTAGAGACTTATGTCTGCTGGCACTGAACTGCATAGTGAGGGGATGGCATCTGTTATCATCTAAGTAAAGAAAATAATAGAGCACAAAGATGCTTCTGTTTCATAAGGGATGCAGCACTTGTGCATCAAATTAAATCCTGGGTTGTTTAACAAATATTCTCTCCTCTTTAAATAATCCAGACCTCATAAGGAAATATTAATTCCTACTATGATCCTTATTACTAATAACATAAAAATCCCTCTTTAGAATTTAACATTTCTTACCAACATGTTATTTTTTATTTGGCCTGACCATAAAGCAAGAGTGTTGTTGACACAATAGTAAATTAGTATAAATCAACCACAAATAAATTTAGTCTTGAAATCAGAGGAAACAACTTGCTGATTGTAGTTGCAGAGGGCAATCAGCACAGCTGTTTTCATGACTGCATAGCCACCAGTGTACCAGTGAAACTGTGATCTCAGAGCAGCGTACTGGACTCCGTGACCTGTTTCTTCCCTGTGGTCCCAGTTGTGCTAAGTACACCTGCAGGTGCTGAACTCCGTCCCTAGTCAGTGCCACATAAGCACACCAAGCGCAAAGGGACTTGGAGGTGTGCTTAGCTGCTCTTCTCACTCATTAACGGTAACGGAAGGCAATAGCTTTACTTACTTGTTCAGGAAATTTCCCTTCAAGGGCTATGGCCTGAAAGACTGAGGATCACTAAGTTGAGTGCCTCTCTACTGTCATATTGCTATGTCCCTGAACTTGCACCTGAGGCCTAATCTCTCGTTATCCAGAGTACCTACAAGTGGCTATATGTTCAGGCTGCACGCTAGCATGTGGAGGAAGGACAGTCCTACATGCAGTGTGGACATTTCTAGAAGCCAGCAGAGGAGATCTCAGGCTTTTTCAGCATTTACTTGCCATGTGGCATGCAAACCCCTGTGCTTTCAGATGTGGCTGCTGAAGACAGTTATAAACGCAGGGTTCAAGGACTGTCAGTGCTGGACCAGAAATAGTTCCATTCTGGTGTTTGACTGAGCACGTATCTAAAATACACTCAGGAACAGAAACCAACATGTAAGTAGAGTCTGTGTTCTATTTACCATAGGGTGGTAAAGTCCTAGCTTGGTACAGCATCTGTCAGCATCTGCCAGCGTGGTCGTGATGTTCTTCAGTGAAGTTTTTAGGTGGCTCAGTGGCTGAATGTGGGGCTTCTTTAGAGTCATGACTTTTGCAGTCATAGGCATCATACACATATCTATCCCAAAGTTAAATTACAAATACAGCCCGTTAGGAAGGAGTACGGCCACTACTGTGATCAGCTAAACAATGGAATTTGATACAGCCATCCACAAAAAAGACCCCTCCCCAAATCTGGCAAGGGGCGGGGGGGGGTGGGGTGGGGTGGAATATACAACTGCCAATTCATAGAACCTTTCTTTTTGTTTTACATCACATGTTGTTACATGAAAGTTCTCACATGGAAAAATGGCAATACAAGAAACAAAGGAAATGGGAAGACAGAATTCTCTCCCAGTAAAACTGGGATAACACCTATAAAGTGGAGTTGTTCTGGATTTATGCTGGTTTAGTGCTTATGCTACTTCTCATAAAAATAAAAAAGAATTTTGATGAATATATTAGATGCAAAATATAGTTCTGAGTTGATCAATCCTTTTAAAATGAAATATCCCAAATTTTAGTTTCAAAATTGTGTCATACTTTAAATGTAAGTAAATGTAAAATTATTTAAAAGCCCATGATTTTCTGATTCCCCTAAATTTTTTTCAATTACTCTTTTAAAATAAAGTCTTTTATTCATGGAATATATAATATTCCGCTTTGCTGTTAAATGAACAGCATTTATACATTGATAAAAGAATCTCTGCTTTTGAGATTACAAAGCAAAGGTAGCCAAATGATCAAAAGTCACAATATGTATGTATGTATGCAGGAAACTAGAATTGTCTAAAAAAGAAAATAGAAACTATACTGACAGATTAATTAGAATTATGTTTCAGTAGGTGCCCAAGAAAGCAACACCTGTAATTTAATACTGAACAAACAGCACATCTTACTTATGGCATGTATAGAGAAGACATTGTGAGTGAGTTTCTTTGCCTGCTATCAAGGAAAGACAGTATGTAGTATCAATACATACACCAGGAGACACCGAGGAAAAATGCCCTGAGCAACGAGTGGATTAATGGGTTATGGGGAGTTTGCAAACTTTAAAAATAAAGCTGATGCCAGAACCTCAACTCTTGCAATCAGAGCTGAGTGATTTATGGCAGCTGAACACTGGCATGCAGAGAATGGAGAAGCAAGAGCTCGTAGTTCTCATTTGTGCAGAACTTAATTTCGTTTGGCCATCACACCCAGCCTAGCTCCATGAGGCTTGTCTACGCCTTCTTTCTCATTTAAACAAGAACTTAGGAAACCAGTGCCCTGCTCTCCTCTTGATGTAGAACTACGTAGGTTAATATTTTGAGCTGCTGTTTCTTAATTCATATTGGGGAATGTACAAAAAAATCTTACAGCCATACGACACAGTACAAACAGTCCATTATATAATGGAAAACCCCTGTATTTCAAGGTAGAGTACCCTATGAATAAAATACCAATTTTTCATAGCGGATATGCTCTTTTCTGAAATATAAATCATGTGCACTACATTGAAATACACTATAGTGTATTGTGAAATGCATACATTAATTGCTGAATCTATAACACTGAATATGTATATACATCACACTCAAGATATTTATACAATATAATAAGTCTTAGATGTATAACATGATGAATTCTGTACAAAATAAACTGTAAGTTAAGACAACGAAAGAGAACTTTTATATCTGTGTAATTTGTATGCCGATAAAGTTATTCAAGCCTCAGTTTTAATCTTTAAATGTGCCCTTTAAAAAACAAACAACTTATTTTCTGTAGGCAGATGTCTGAAATAAAGACTGCACTCTTCAGAAAAGAAGCAACTGAGAGACTGTGAAAGACACAGATTCTGCGGGAGAAATAAACATAATGTTGATGTGAATTTTTTTTAAAACTGACTAAACCATTTTGCGTTTATATTGGTCAAGGTGATCTGCTGGTTGGGCTGAGGGTGACGTGTCCCCGCAGCGTGAACAGTAAATTAGCAGAATCACCAGCACAGGGATTGCTCACATGCCTCCTTACTCAAAGCAACAGAAATTACCGGATTATACAGTCCAAGGGTTTCACCCAACCTTCCCTGCAAGCGGTGCTCCAGCCCTGTCTTCCTGCAGTGAGTGATCCTTTCCCAGCACCAAATGTAAAGAACAGATGAACATACTAACTG